TTCCTGGCTATGAATGAATTAAATTGGAGAAAAATTTTTGTGCTTTACAGCTCAGGAAGAACGTAATTGAAATATAAAAAGAAGATAAAAAGATAAAAAAAAAAAAAAGAACCCCCATCTGTTTTGCTCTGGTCTGTCTGGAAGCAGTGGCTGCACGGCGTGTTTATGCCCTGTGGCGTATTCTTATGCCCTGTGGTTATTCTTAGAATCTTACAATGATGGGAAGAGTTGCATGGGCAAGTACAAAACTTGTTTTAATCCTCCCTCGTGAAATGCGTGTGCTCTGGGTGCTGCCAAGGAGCCGTCTGCTTCTGTACCCACGGAACGAAAACAACGAGGGGATGTAAGTGCTGTTTAAGCGAATACATTTTAATATTTCCCAAGTATTCTGATCTCCTTATTGAAACCTTGTTTTGCCTGGCTTTTCCCCTGCTATTGCAGGGGAGAACTCCGTGTGTGTAGGTATGTGAATAGAATACACAGCCAAGTTCTAAAATTTGGGATAAGAGGTGGGGAGTTCCTTGCCAATACTGGAGGATTTGACTCCAGAAATTCGTGGGAGTTTTCCTGTGGTTTTTTTTTTTTTTTCCTGTTTAACACTGATGAGTTGCTGCACTCTAGTGTCTATTTAATAAAGGTCTTGTGCAATGCCAGCTACAGCTCAGCGAAAGCTGGGTGGAGGTTAATTCTATCTGGCCTCAGAAAGTTTCAACCAGCTTTTATACGTTTTATTTTAATTTAACTGCGCCCCGTTTTGTGCAGGTGGCACTGGAGGTAGTGAATCCTTCTCCGCTGGTAATAACAGACACAAAGACGAGCGTGTCAAGAAGCCTGCAGAAGTGTGGCTGGTATCTCCTGCGCCTTCGGGAATTGCGTTGTGTTGACACGGTTGGAGGAGGGTCCTGCCGGGCTGTGGCCGAGGACAGACCCCGCTCCTGCGGTGACCGTGACCTGCTGGGCAGGGTTAGGGAGGAGACACGTTCCTCCAGATGCTCCTCACGTTCTCCTCTGTGTGTTTGGTTTGACTGGGGCTGGAGGGGTTGGGGTTTTGGCGTTTATTTTTATTATTATTTTTTATTGCAAAACACAGGACTGTTGGTGAATGAGAAAAAGGCCGAGACTGACTCCCCTTCTTTGCATTGTTTCAGGGAAGAGTCCTTTATGGGCCTTGGATTCGTATATTCCTCTAGAGCTCTTTTCCTTCACCTCGATAGTCTCCAACTTATCTTTCTCAGTAGGCCAATGACTTCCACACCTTAAAACCCATTTAGCCAACATTTTCTCTAATGAAACAACCTCTCAGACTCATCTCAGCATCTTTACTGTCTACTTGCTACAACTACAATTGCAAATAGCGTCCTGTAGAGCTGGGAGGACTGGGTGCAGCCTGCGTGCTTATGTATGCCTGGCATGAACAACCGAAAAATCATTTTACTGCCTTGTCAACAAATACCTGCGTTGAATAAAGCTCGGAGGGACTCTGCAGCTATCGCATTTGTTTCCATAGCGTTTTAAAATATTCCTTGAAAACGAACAGGCTGTCTCTCATCTGACTGTTGGGGGAATACGCGCTTTGGACACAACAGATGAGAAAAGGAGACGCCAATACAAGCTCCTCTTCTCTTCATTGCTCAGGTTATCGCTTCCATGCTCTCTCCTCCCTTCCTCTGTCAATCGGTTGTCTCCAGGACAAGGCTTTTCCCATGTCCTCTCTAAAACTTCTGCTACTGTCAAAGCCAGTGACGTAATTCTGATATTTTCTGTTTGGCTTTTGGAAAACTGGGAGGGGGAAAAATAACGTCTCCCTTGTGCTAGTTGTCTTGTCTGGAGCCAGGACCAAAGCGGTTCCTTGGCCATCAAGCCGTGTCTCCTTGTCAGGCTGAAACATGGGCTGGAAGCCAGTTCCCCCCTCAGACCAACGGAGCTTTCCTGGCCAAGGGATGTCTCAGCTGCGTGAAAGAAGCAGCGGAAGTCAAAAATACACCAGGAGTCCGTTCTGTATTGAGAAAGAGGAAGATGCTGGCTTGGACCCGCATCTGCTGATGTGAGGCATCATTCCTGATCTGATCACAGGATGTTTTATGGCCCTGAGGTGTCTCTGTTGCTTTACCCTGCTTTCCGTCAGGCATGGTTGTCCTCTCACAGGACCAGGATACGTTTAGCATCCCCGTGACACAAGCAAGCATTTTGCTGTAATGTTCTGCTCATTGTGTCCCACCGTATAGATGTTCCTGCAGAGAGGATGTGGTGGCTTATGGTGTGGTTTCTGGATGTTGTCTCCTACCTTTCAACCAACTAGTCAACATCTCGTTTCTCAAAGACGCAAAGGGAAGCTCTTAGGCGCCCACGAGGAACGCTTGACCTTCAGCACTGCTGGAGCGTTTTACAGCCACCTTTTTTAAAATTTAAACCTATTATTCTGACAGCTCCTGCTACGGAGTTGTGGTGACAGAAGAACATGAAGCTGAAACTGTAGCATTACAAGGAGGAAGAGAGAACGCTCATGGTCAGCTGCTGAAACGTGAAGAGCGAAGCACAAACACGAGGTAATGACTTGGACCAAGGTATTTCTATGTGCGTTTCTTTGCTCTTTTTAAATCCTTTTTTTTTTTAATTTTTATTTATTTTGAGGTAGGGTAGAGTTGTCGGATCCTTGTTGGATCTTTACCCTTGCCAAGTTGAGCGTCACCTGACCAAACGTAACATTTTTCCACTTGCCTTCTCTGCGAGGTCTCTGTATTTACTACCACAACTGTACTAATTCGGGAAAAGCCGTGGTGTTGCACCACAAATCTGGCCGGTTTTGAGCACACCGTGCGTTCCAACACATTGCAGCTGGTAGTAGGTGCTGGTGCTTCAAATACGTGTGTTTAAACCGTGTGCCATTTTTAGATTCGTACCCCGTAATTGGGTTTTATCCTTGAGCTCAGCACCAGCGACGTCTGGGCTCATGTAATGATCACTCGGGTATTGATTTAGTAAATAGAGAAAGCCGGTGCCAGATTAATCAAAAAAAAAAAAGCCTAAGTCTGACCAAGAAGGACGTCGATACGATGGGGTGACATTCAGTGTGCGTTTATACTGGATAAATTTGAATTGGCAACGAAACAGACTCTTCCCAGTATCTCCTGTGCATTACAAACATGCGAGAGGTGACAGAATTTCACCCTACGTTTTCCTTCCCTGTCTTTCCTCGGGTTGAGAAACTCAAAGTAGCTGGCACTAAAAAAGTAATTGACTGTAACAACCAGTCTGGGTCATATTTGAAGGAAAAATCCGCTGCTTCAGGCCCAATAAAATAACTAGAAAACACGGCTAGATACCCTTAAAAAAACTATTAACAGTGATTTTTAAAAAAATTGTATCTGACTGTTATAACAGACCGACGCTTACCAATCAGTGCTGAATAGAAAAATTAAAAAAAAAAAAAACAAACAAAAAGAAGTATCTTAGGGAGCTGGGTGCAGAGGAATGATAATTACGATAGTTCAGTTAAGGTACCCAAATGGGTGCTGTTCCTTTTTACGCTGCACTGGCAGTAAAAGAGAGTGAGCCATTATTTCTACATTTAACACTTGTACATTTTTATTTAGTTAAATCAGCCATTGTACACATTGCAGCTATGTATTGTTAGTGTTGTATTTTTTTTTTTTTTAATTTTTAACTAATACATGCCCTCATAGATATATTCAATTAGTGTTATCACCATGGGAACAAGATGCTGATTCGTCAACTTAAAATTCACTTCTTCTCACAGTATTCAAGTTCTTTGATAACACAGCAAAAAATCAAAATAAGAGGTGAATAACCATTATGTTGTTACACAGAACATCATCTGCACCGCAAATAACACAACAGAAATGCATTTCTTTAGAGCCCCATCCTTGAAGATCATCCGGTGCTGTCTCTGACAATAAGAAAGCCATGATGGGTCATGAAATGTTTCATCATGGGTCTCATTCGGTTTGGCTGCCAAAACACTTTTTGGTTTGGGTTTTTTTTTTGTTATTGTTGTTGGTTTGTGGTGGGTTTTTTTGTGTTTTTCTTTTTCCTGCCTGCCAAAAAAGTGTTAGCACGGCACCTCGGGTTCTTTTGCCTGCAGGAAGGCAGAACTCCCAAGGTGTTTTCATGCTTTTGGCGTCGTTACCTTAATGAGGAAGTGCCCTTGTTCTGAGCACTGAGTGAGTCATTAAAAAAACCAAACAACCCTGGAATCGTAGAAGGCCAGATAAGCTTGGAAAAAGTATTACTCCTAGAGGAGAGGGTTTGTTTGACTCTGGTTTTGAGCATAGTATTAAAAAAAAAAAATCAAAGAGCTGTTTAAAAACATTTAGTTAGTGTGTTTGTGTGTATTACAGATGCTAAAACACTACACAGCTCCCCTCCCTTAAATCTTAAGGTATAGAACACCCAAAACGTCAGTTCTCTATGTTCCCTTTTTTGAAAAATAAAAGTGCAGACATGCTATCAACGCTTTTCAGAGGGTTGGTTTAGAAATATATATATTATATATATAGATAGATAACAAAATATGAACAGAAACTGGCTTTCAAGGATTGTGAGCACTTTCTCTTTAAAAAACACTTGATTGGAAGATAAAAACTGCTCGCTCAGTGCTAAGAGGGCCAACAAGCTGACATGATTATAGGAGGGTTTGGTTTTGACCTTCAAATGCCACATGCATGGATCGGATAAGAGGCAATCTCGATAAAACACGGTGAATTAATTATTCTCCTTGTATAGTGGGGTTAAGTCTTTCTCCCATAGTTATCTACAGTGCAGTGGCCAGCAGAAGTACCACCAAGAAGACAGTGTGGTTCGCTAAGCAGTGATGAAAACAGGAAACTACTGTAGTTATAATTGTTTAATACACCCTGCCACATGTCCAGATCTAAAAGATTTTTAATACCGTATGCAAATGTGCCATAGATATAGCTGCTAGCAAGTTGGTTACCTAATTGGGTACTCTTTTTTTTTTTTTCTTTTTCTTTTCATTTTCAGGAAATCTTTAAGTGGCTGTCTGAAGGTCTTAGACGTATTAACGGCCACGGTCAGCTGTTGCTTCAGGAGAACAGCTGAATTTCCAGGTTTTTAGCCTGACTCTTAGAGCCTTTAACTATAATAGATCCCTAAACTGGAAGTCTTACGGATGCAGTAGATCTGCAGCGCTTCCTCCTCAGTCAGTCTGTGTTTGCAGTCGATTGTGTTAACGTTATTTTATTCATCGCCGTTCAGCAGTGTCGATAGACCTTGTACTCCACGATGCTAATTGTAGTCATAGGCAGTGTGTTTTTCTGCAGTCTTGTAAGTCCAAATACTCTTGCTATATACAGTTTACATGTTAACTCCCTTTTTTTATGACGCATGTACATAGTCACTTGAAGAGGCCTGTAGATGAAGTCGGCTTGACAAATGCAATTTCGTGAAGCTAGTGCAGAAGCAAAAGGAACAGCGAGAAGTGGCGACGCTGACAAATTCCCAGTACAGCACAAAGACGACGAGTCGGTGGATAAACCATCCTGAATGAAGGATGCTATCTTTGGTCACAAATTAGCTTACGGGGGTGAAAAATAACAAAAACTCAAAAATCAAATACGGGGAGGGAAGGCGGGGGGGAGAAATGAATTCACTGCATCTGCACGAGTAGAAATGGCAGTGTCTTCCAGTGATTATGTAGGTAATAATGTCTACACCTAGAGGAGATGAATGCTGCACACGGGATGGATGGTTATGTGGTGGTGTTGAGGGGTGGCAGCTTCTCACTTCGCCTCCTGTTTCCAGTCCTCTCTGCAGAAGTGTCTAAGAAGCTGCTGGAGGTCATGTTGGAGGTCATCCTGTGGTAGTGCTTCTGGCGTGTCTTCCAGCTCTTCTATGTGAACATGTTTTCCATACCGATCCTTCATCACAGTCCTCTTCTGTGTGCTGGCTTTATTTAGTGTTGTCCTAAAGCAAAATAAATGAGAAAACTGTCTTAAAAAAGCAAAATAAATGAGAAAAATGTCTTAAACCCTTCAGTTCCTGAAGGTTTTAAAAATTGTTCCTTCTCAGCTGCAGTTTTCAGGCTTTTTCATTTAAAATATCATGAGAAGAACTGTAGCTGGCAGGTGAAGCCAGCTACTGAGGTCAGATATTCGTTATGCATTCTGACTACAACACACACCACCGCTTTAATGTAAACTAATAGCAATTAATCTGTAGACGCTGATTAAGCATACGGTTTTAGATGCCCAGCAAAAACATGCTGTAACACACAGACATGCAACAAACGTTGAAATTCACACACGACCTTCCTCTTTGCTGTATCTAACGTCAACATACAGAGTTGTCCTGTACAACGGTAATTTAAGCCGATGAATTTCTTGAATACTTACTTCTGAACAAGTCTTACTTCTGACAGCCAGTAAAACTACTTTTGTGGTAATCCAGTGTCCTAAACTACTCTGTTAATTACTCGTTAGCCATCTTGCTCTACTAGTCGGAACCTTAAACCTCACCGAGTCCCTCCCAGATCTAGGGAAATAAATGTAGTTGTCATAGGACAGCTGGATGTCTCCTGCTTAGCCCTACCCAGAAGCCCAAATTTTGGTCACTGTCCTTGAGAGAGGACCATGGGAAGCCAAGCACACTCAGAAATCCCTGCGTGCTCAGCCAGCAACGGCTCGATTTTTACCAGGCAGCCGACACTTCTTAATTTGACCTGGATGACCAAAAAGTTTGCTCTGTTAGATGGAGCGCTTTGACAAGAACGTTCACCCTTCATCCAAAAGCAGGTGCAGCAGGTCCTCTGGCTCTCAGTGTGTCCTCCTGACACCATCCCGCTAACTGGTTTCACAGCTTGTTACAGGGACAGAGACAGTTTGGTCAGGATGTTCTTTCAGATGCTAACGTTGGCTTTACCACCCCAATGGCCACTATCAATTCAAATGAGCTGAAAGAAAAGGTGTGTCCAAGATACCTGGCCTGTGGAAGCCTCGGCTCAAGTTGTGTGTGGTCAGAATGAAAACACTTGCTGTACTACAGTAGCTCTTCTTCCTTCCAAATGTTTTTTCCTATCTGCCCTGCCTCCTTCTTCGTGAGGCTCAACTGTCACATGCGTATATCTATCTGTCTCCGGGTATCCTCTCATCTATTTGGATAATGTTCAAATTATCTGACGATCGCAGAGTCAACCGCTCTGAAAAAAACACCTTTGAGGTAACCTCGATTAATGTTGTTAACTGTAAATCACGCTGTTATTCTTGCATCGCGTCCCATAAAATCAGCTCGGCAGCCATACCCCTTTGCGCTGGCTCTAGCCAGGATGCGGTTAACTTTCTTCATAGCGGCCTGTGCGGTGCCCTGGGTTCCATCTGGGTCTAAACCAGCGTTGACAACAGTCCGACGCTTTGGCTACTGCTGAAGAGCGCTCACTTACATCGATACTTTCTCCTTTTTTCCCCACCGGCCCCCTTCGGTGAGTAGGCTGGGGGTGGGCAAGAGACTGGGAGGGCACAAAACCAGGACGGCCAACCTAGACCAGCCCAAGGGATGTGTCGTGCTACACAGAATCATGCTCGGCAATAAAAACAGGGGGCAGAGAAAGAAGCTGGGGAGTTAGGGGGGTTCTGTCTTCCAAGGTGACCAGTGCTTGGTGACCGGCTGGGCATCAGTCTGCTTGTGGGAGGTGGCGAGTGATTGCCTTTGCATCACTTGCTCGCTTATTCTTCCCTCTTTCATTTGCTTATTAAGTCTTTCCATGTGAAAGTAGACCTTCCCAGTGCATGTATCCCTTCCTGTAACGGAATGTTAGTAATCATCTTTAGTACTTTTGCAAATAAAGCTTTAGATGCTGCCGCCAGCGGTTTCACTGCAGGCACTCACTTAAATCCACTCATTGATTATGAGTTTGTTAATCCTTTTCTAGTAGCAGTTCATTGACGTGCCAAACCAAACCTTTTAATAATCGAGCCGTCCTCCTTCAGGATTTCTTTCTCTACTAAAGCAGGGAGCTGGACTTTCATTTGGTTACCTGTATAGCTCAAAGCCTCCAATTAAAACATAAAGTTCAAATTAAAAACAAACCCGCAAAATCTAGGACACAAGAGAGTTGCTCTTTGCACCTTTGTGCTTTATATTAATGAAGTTGAATGCTGAGGAAATGATGAATAGACAAATAAGAGAAGCATCTGCCTGCCATTTGCATCCTTTCAAATATTCCTCAAACGTACAGATCAGTTACAATTTATTGTATAGGATAGTTCTATTTTCCTAATAATTGTACTGAAGGATGTCATGGTACCTTCTTTTCGATTTTGAAGTGGCCCAACAACTCAAGACCTTGCAGTACCACGCTTGCAGAACTCATCCTTTCTATTTACGGCAGCTGCTACAGTGACCTTTTTCCTATCACAGAAAATACTCTTTCTTTTATAGCTGCTCCCATTTGCCCGTTCTCGGTGCTAGCAGTACGGAGACGGTGTACACAGAAAGGATGGGTGATGCTCCTGAGCCCCAACTGTACTGGAACGGGAGAAGCAGAGAACGGAGCCCAGCAAAATTTTCCACAGAATATCTGCCCTTCCTAATACTTTTATAGAAAACAGAAAAACAGAACGAAAAAGGCAGCATTTTTGTTTTCGTTCTGGCTGGATGTGGGTTTGTCTGCGGCATCTTGCGCGGGATTCTTAATTTACTACACTAGAAGCTGCAAACTGGGGGGAAAAAAAGTGTTATTTCCCAAGCCATTTCTTTGAACCTCTCCATGACGGTTTTTTGCTGCTTGTTTTGTTATTGTCCGGAGAGAGGGATCTGGCTGCTGGGCCTGTGTCGCTAACGGGAAATTTGGCATCTCAATCTCATATTTTAGCGCTTGTTCCCTTCCTGCAAGCTGTAATAGCCATTGTACGGCAGAAAATATCCAGACCGTGACATTGTTGCATCTATGTTTTTACTTGGTATTTTGCCAAATTGAAAAAAAAAACAAAACCAAACCAAGGACTTACGTTGCATCTAACGATGCAAAACTTTTATCCACTTGGATCTTTAAGATGTGTTTTACACGTGTTAGTCAAAGGGACAAGAAAATGGATTAACAGTGAAGTGCGATCGGTTCCTTACAGAAAAAGCCGTATTCATTCAGTATCACTTTTCTATGTCTGAAATGCCTAAACTGATCAGAAAAAGCATAAAACCAAGAAAGGTGCTAATTAGCGTGGTAGCTCTTTCTTCCTTTCAAGGACAAACACATCGGCTTACCCAGAGAGCAGACTTAATTGTATCAATTCCTAAAATCAGCTCCATGAGGGGTAACATATAAATGAATTTTTTCTTTAACGGTAACCACACCCGTGATTTCTAACAACCGTACTTAGAGCCTCCATGGTTGTTTTTTTTAAGAATCTTAAAATGTTTCATAGTTAATTCTGTCACGTTAGCTCCCCCCCCTTTATAAACTAATCCTTTTATAACATGGCTGAGTACAACAACAGAGGTTTATACTCAGTGGATGAGTATGACGCTCCACCAACAAAACTTTCTATAGAGTAAAATTTGTCCCCAGGTATGTTGCGACGCTTGTTTTAATATTTATATATTTAAAAAAAGCATTTCTTACCTCTTCGAAGTCCTCTTTGGCTGACGGAAGATCAGTAGCTAAGCTAGCATCCCCCAGGTGTTTCTCCGTTCTCTCTCCTTGCACTACAGTGGTCTTTATGACTTTGCTGACCTTCCGGCCTTCCACTGGTTCAGACTGGAATTTGGAGGCACTAGGCAAAACCGCAGGTTCAGACAGGGTCACCTGTAAGGTTAGAAAGCAGAAGTATACTGGCTACGAATTACAGAATGGATACCGACAAAGCTTTTAGCTACTCCATCATTCTTTCTTAATCGTTGCCATAGAGAACGAGGATATAGAAGCGTTTCACTTTCTATGTGTACGCATCAAAATAGCGAGTGTACATTTTATTACCTGCTCTACAGCTCTGGAACGAGACATTTTAAGAAACGTGCCAGTTCAGACAGCAGGAACAGCCCTGGATAATTTATTCTGCGGAGAAGCTTTACGCTGGCGGGGTGAAAACTGCTTCTGGAACCTGAACTAGCCCGAAGGCAGCGGGGATACTGCTACCCTCCGCCAGACCACAGGCTGCCCTGTACTGCCTTAGCGGCCAACGCCACCGGAGTTACTCCCAGTAACGAGCAGTCCTCTCGCTGTGCATCCTTGCTGGATTCACCCAGGTAGGAAGAATTAGCACTATCAGCTCGTATCTCAGTTTTAAGATATTTTTCTGAGAGGTGAGTCGTGCTTGTAAAACCACAGAACTCTTACAGGAGCAACAGCCCACGGGAAAGTGACAAACGCAACTTTAATTGGCAAAATACAAATTTAATGTATATGGGTTCCATACGATAAAGAGTAGCTCTGGTACTGTCAGTTAACTAAAAAAAAAAAATAAATTACTTTGTTTTCTTGTTACCTTACTCTTACAGAATTAATTCTGATGATTAATTCCGGCAAGAGAGAATGGCAATTAGTTTCTATGCATTTCTAATGACTGCTTGTTAAACGTTGCCTTCAACTGCAGTACAGCTGAAAGCAAGCGCTATCGCTAGCTGCTGGCCCTCTGTCACAACCTGAATTTTGCTGATATAAATGTCTGTGCTGCTACATGGAGAACTAAGACAGGAAAAGATAAACTGAAAAGCACTTACCTTTTCGGGTTGTTCTTTTCTTTTTAATTACCTGGCTCTACAAACAGTTTTCATGAAAGTAAATTTTTTTTTAGCCTTTTCAAAGCAAAGAACACACCAGTAAGTTAAACCTAATGTAACTGTATAGTTTTAGAAGGCCTTAGTTGTAGAAACCTATAGAAGATCAGATCATTTCGTTGTAACCTTCACTAATTTTCTTATTAGAGTAAGAGGTATAATAGCAAATACAGATTTGATCTTTGTACAAAGCTGCTTTTCTTTATGAACTTCGTACTTCTCACAAGTCATAGAATCTGTATCCTGACTTATTTTCAGAGAAAACTGTCCTCTTTCCCTGCCCTTCTACCCCACCCCCCATCTTCTCCCTGTCTTTACTCCGAGGCCTTTCCATCTGCAAGAAAACTTTTAAAAGTACCATTCAAAACCGAGTGTTGTTGGCATGAACAAGACGTAGTTACTAAATACGCTGTTGGTGTACTGCTGCTTTGTACCATGGTGAGGAAAGCAGAAGATCTGACCTCTGACTGTTCACTGTCGCTCTTCAGCACAACCCGTTTTACAACTTTGGAATAGCCGTCTCCTTCCTCGACAGTGACAGGTTTTTGTGGTGCTCCTTGCATTAGGACTTCCTCTTTTTCTGTGCCCTCTGGAGAAACGTATCGCCGGATGATCTTTCTGGTGACCTGAAGGAATGAAATAGAGCTTTGTCCCAAAAGAAATAACAGTAATACATTCCCTCTTATTATCTCCACAGTGTTTTCTACTCAAAGAACATTTTTTCCTACGTAGAAAAACCTACATAGATGTTTCGTTGTTTAAGTCTTTAAGACGTATACTGAAAACAACCTGCAAGTTGATGCATTTGCCCTACTTAGGTTACCACACAGCAAAGCTTCCATAAGCTGACTTCACAATATAGATATTGGAATGACTCTCTAAAGCAGT